GGAGCACAGGCTCCGGATGCGCAGGCTCAGCGGCCGTGGCTCACGGGCCCAGCCGCTCCGCAGAATGTGGGATCCTCCCGGACCGGGGCATGAACCCGTGTCCCCTGCATCGGCAAGCGGACTCTCAACCACTGCTCCACCAGGGAAGCCCGAACCTAGATTTTTGACTGGAATCAACTATTAAATACAATGTTTCGTGTATAATTATTTTTAATTCATAAGAAAGTATTAAGAATGTCTATTCATAAATCAAACATTTCTGTAGTATTTGGATAAAGTCTGTGACGTTTTTGAAAGCAGAAGAAAAAGTTATAGACATGAGAAGTCATGTTGGACTTCCCTGGTGGCTCAGTGCTTAAGAATCCACCTACCAATGCAGGGGACATGGGTTTGAGCCCGGTCCGGGAAGATCCCACATGCCGCAGAGCAACTAAGCCCGTGCGCCACAACTACTGAGCCTGTGCTCTAGAGCCCATGAGCCGCAACTACTGAGCCCATGAGCCGCAACTACTGAGCCCGCGTGCCGCAACTACTAAGCCCACACGCCTAGAGCCTGTGCTCCACAACGAGAAGCCACTGCACCACAACAAAGAGTAGCCCCCACTCGCTGCAACCAGAGAAAGCCTGCGTGCAGCAACGAAGACTCAACACAGCCAAAAAAAAAAAAAAAAAAAAGTCATGTAAGAAAAAGCAGAATAAATCTAGAAGGAACAGGTAATTTCCTAGCATATCTAACAATTCAACTATTAAATACAGCTGAGGGACTTCCCTGCTTGCCCAGTGGCTAAGACTCCATGCTCCCAGTGCAGGGGACCTGGGTTCCATCCCTGGTGGGGGAACTAGATCCCGCATGCACGCCGCAACTAAGAGTTCAAATGCCGCAACTAAAAAACCCTGTATGCCGCAATGAAGGCCTGGAGCAGCCTAATAAATATATATATTTTTTTAAAAAGATCTTTAAATGCAACTGAGTATCAGAGCTGGGTTCTGATCTCCAACATAATTTGGGCTAAATTATTTCATGCCTCTAGGTCCACTTTGCAAATACTTGGAGATCAGTGATGATTAAGTCCCAAAGAAAATGGGATATAAAAGACTTTAAAGTTCTGATAAGAGCTATGGAAGTGGCAAGCGGGCAGCACACTTCTAGGTATTTGACATCCAACTGTCCAGTCTCAGGGCCTCAATCTCTCCACGTGTATATTAAAGATGGTTAACTTTTTTTTTTTTTTTTTTTTTGCGTTATGCGGGCCTCTCACTGTTGTGGCCTCTCCCATTTGTGGAGCACAGGCCCCGGACGCGCAGGCTCAGCGGCCATGGCTCACGGGCCCAGCCGCTCCGCGGCATGTGGGATCCTCCCGAAACGGGGCACGAACCCGCGTCCCCTGCATCGGCAGGCGGACTCTCAAGCACTGCGCCACCAGGGAAGCCCAAAGATGGTTAACTTTTTTTTTTTTTTTGCGTTATGCGGGCCTCTCACTGTTGTGGCCTCTCCCATTTGTGGAGCACAGGCCCCGGACGCGCAGGCTCAGCGGCCATGGCTCACGGGCCCAGCCGCTCCGCGGCATGTGGGATCCTCCCGAAACGGGGCACGAACCCGCGTCCCCTGCATCGGCAGGCGGACTCTCAAGCACTGCGCCACCAGGGAAGCCCAAAGATGGTTAACTTTTTTTTTTTTTTTGCGTTATGCGGGCCTCTCACTGTTGTGGCCTCTCCCATTTGTGGAGCACAGGCCCCGGACGCGCAGGCTCAGCGGCCATGGCTCACGGGCCCAGCCGCTCCGCGGCATGTGGGATCCTCCCGAAACGGGGCACGAACCCGCGTCCCCTGCATCGGCAGGCGGACTCTCAAGCACTGCGCCACCAGGGAAGCCCAAAGATGGTTAACTTTTAAAGCCAATTGTTTGTACACTTCAAACTTTTTATTTATGACACTGGAACCCTTTATTCAATAATCTCCTATAAGGAACCCCAAAAGATAAAAGCAAAGAGGTCCCTGTGTATCTACAGTAATCCCAAGGCTATAAAGAACATACATATTGTCTGGTCCAGAGGTTTCTTATTTTATTATTTATTTATTTTTAAAAAATTTTTGGCCATACACCACAGCATTCAGGATTTTTAGTTCCCCAACCAGGGATCAAACCCATGACCCCTGCACTGGAAGTGGAGAGTCTTAACCATTGGACTGCCAGGGAAGTCCCAGAAGTGTTTTTAAACTGAGACAACTTTCAAATCTACTGTCTCATTAGTCTATCTATCAACCAGGTGAGAAAATTCAAAGTTTCTGCTGGCAAAAAAAGGAAAAAAAAAAAGATTATACACAAAGTTGAAAGACAACAAGTCTGGGGAAAACAAAACATATATAATATACTGGCTTTCTTAAAAAATTTCTTATAGATTAACAAGAAAAAGACCAATGAGCCAAAAAAAAATTTGCAGAAACATGAACAATTCACACAAAATGAAACACAGATGGCTTAAAAGATGTTCAACACCACCTATAATTTACAAAATACAAATTAAAACAGTGATCTAATTTAATTATAAAATGCCTACACTTATAAAAGTACATACAGTAATCATGAAACAAAAATCCAGGGGCTTCCCTGGGGGTGCAGTGGTTGAGAGTCCACCTGCTGATGCAGGGGACATGGGTTCGTGCCCCAGTCCGGGAAGATTCCACATGCCATGGAGTGGCTGGGCCCGTGGGCCATGGCCACTGAGCCTGTGCATCCGGAGCCTATGCTCCGCAACGGGAGAGGCCACAACAGTGAGAGGCCCGTGTACCGGGGGAAAAAAAAAAAAATCCATGAAAATAATATTCAAGATATAGACTGCTGTCAGAATCCCAAAATGGTACTCTACTCCCTCCTCTCTGTAGGTAAATACTGTCTTTTATGGTAATCACTTCTTTTTTTAAAAAATACATTATCAAGTATGTAAATATGCAATCTTCAAGGTTTTAGTTTTGCCTAGTTTTGAACTTTATATATAAGGAATTATACTGTATACATATACATTCTTGTGATGTTTCTTTTGCTCATACTATAAGACACATCTAGGTTGACAGATGTGATTTTTTTTTTTTTTTTTTTTTTTTGCTGAATTGAACTCAGCAAAAAATTTACTTTATCCATTGTACTGTTCAGGGACATTCCAATTTTGAGCTATCATGAACAAGGATGCTATGAACTTTCTTTTACATGTCTCCTGATGAGCACATGTACATACTCAAGAGGAGAACTGCTGGGTAAATGGGTATGTGCACCTTCAACTAATGCGATAATGCAAAATTGTTTCCCAAAGTGTTCTAGCAATTTACATACTCATCCATAGTGTTTGAGAGTTCCTGGTGCTACAGAACCCTCCAGTATCTGGTGGTGGAGTATCTTATTGTGCCTTTAATATGCATTTCCCTAAAGACCGATAAGGTCAAACATCTTTTCATTTAATTGGTATTTGGATATTCCCCTTTGGGGTTGGGGAAATTTTTTTTTTTTTTTTTTTTTTTTTTTTTAGATTGTCTGCCTATGAGATGTAATTTTTTACCTATCAGTTAAGTGGTGATCAAAAAATTTGAAAATACAGTTCTGAGAAGATGGAGAAACAGGCATTCCCACTGTAAAAGGAGTGTAAATTGGCAAGAACTTTTTCCAAAATTCAAAATGTATATACTTTAAGATCCAGCAATTTCCCATCTAGGAATCCATTTACCTACTTGCAAATATATACAAAGAACTTAAAAAGAATGGTGGTCCAATGTTCACTGCAGCACTGTTTACAATAGCCAGGACATGGAAGCAACCTAATTGTCCATCGACAGATGAATGAATAAAGATGTGGTACGTATATACAATGGAATATTACTCAGCCACAGAAAGGAACAAAATTGAGTTATTTGTAGTGAGGTGGATGGACCTAGAATATTTCATACAGAGTGAAGTAAGTCAGAAAGAGAAAAACAAATACCGTATGCTAACACATATATATGGAATCTTAAAAAAAAAAAGGTTCTGAAGAACCTAGGGACAGGACAGGAATAAAGACGCAGACACAGACAGAGAATGGACTTGAGGACGTGGGGAGGGGTAAGCTGGGACGAAGTGAGAGAGTGGCATGGCCATATATACACTACCAAATGTAAAATAGCTAGCTAGTGGGAAGCAGCTGCATCGCACAGGGAGATCAGCTCCATGCTTTGTGACCACCTAGAGGGGTGGGATAGGGAGGGTGGGAGGGAGATGCAAGAGGGAGGGGATATGGGGATATATGTATACATATAGCTGATTCACTTTGTTATACAGCAGAAACTAACACAACATTGTAAAGCAATTAGACTCCAATAAAGATGTTAAAAAAAAAGAATGCTGGTCATGGTAGATTTGTTAGTAATAACAAAGATTAGAATTAACTTAGAAATCCATCACTAGGAGACTGGTTAATTATCTGTACCTAGCCTTACAACAGAATTCCACTCACCTGCTGAAAAAGAAATTAGGTAGAACTCTATGTGCCCATATGCAACAAGCTACAGGAGAGTAAAATGAAAAGATCCGATGTGTTGCAGTGTGAACAGTATCTTACTTACAGTGTAAAAAACCAGAAATATATACAGTCATAAACTTGTAAATTTTTACATTATCTTCCTTAGGAGACATAGGAAACAGGCAACAAGGGTAACTTCTGGGGAGAACTGGGAGCAAGGAGTGTAAGACTTTTCAATACGTAGCCTTCTGTGCATATAACAATATTCACATGGCTCAAAGTTCAAACGTTACAGTCGCTTATATATATTTTTTAATATCTTTATTGGAGTATAATTGTTTTACAATGTTGTGTTAGTTTCTGCTGTATAACAAAGTGAATCAGCTATACATATACATATATCCCCATATCTCCTCCCTCTTGCGGCTCCCTCCCACCCTCCCTATCCCACCCCTCTAGGTGGTCACAAAGCATGGAGCTGATCTCCCTGTGCTATGCTGCTGCTTCCCACTAGCTAGCTATTTTACATTTGGTAGTGTATATATGTCCATGCCACTCTCTCACTTCGTCCCAGCTTACCCTTCCCCCTCCCCGCGTCCTCAAGTCCATTCTCTATGTCTGTCTGCGTCTTTATTCCTGTCCTGCCCCTAGGTTCTTCAGAGCCTTTTTTTTTTTTTAAGATTCCATATATATGTTAGCATACGGTATTTGTTTTTCTCTCTCTGACTTACTTCACTCTGTATGACAGACTCTAGGTCCATCCACCTCACTACAAATAACTCAATTTCGTTTCTTTTTATGGCTGAGTAATACTCCATTGTATATATGTGCCACATCTTCTTTATCCATTCATCTGTCGATGGACCCTTAGGTTGCTTCCATGTCCAAGCTATACAATTGTTTACAGAGTGACAAGTTTCCCTCTGACCTGCCCAGCTCCGTTCTCTAAGGCGTAACCCATATTATCAGTTCCTTGGACCTCCTTTCCGACACCTGATGTTTCACCCTTTCACTTAAAAACAAATAGTCATGGATATAAAATAGGTTAAATTAAGTGACCATTAAGTGAATAAAGGGCACCTGAAACTTACTCATCCTCCTCCTCCTCTCGCTTGTGTTTCTTTCTATGGTGAACTGAAACACTGTTGAAACAAACCAGAAAATCAGTCAGTTGAGAAATTTATTGAGCGGGTGCGTTCAGCATCCACTTTCTGGCTCCGATAATCTTGCCCACCCCATTCCCACCAGCGGTCCCCTTCCTTGCCGAGTGGGATGGATATACAGGTCACAAGGTCAGTCAGATACAGAGATTGAAATCTAAACTTCTCATTTGGTCAAGACCGGGGGAGATAAATTGAGGG